CAGGGCATACGTCAGGGCACACGTATGCCCTGACGAAGGCCGGTCCCCGGCCGTAACGTTGGTAATAAAGCATCGTTTTCGTTTGCTCGTTCGCTTCTTCTAGTGACTTATAACTCGACCGGAATCCAGGAAGACTTTCAAGAAATATATATATATATATATATATATATATATATATATATATATATATATATATACATATATATATATATTAAAATATATATATATATCCCGTTTTTGTCTGGCCGCGCAGACGGACGCTGGTCATGCCTGGCGTGAGAGAGAAATGCTCACGTTTTGCTAACGCGGCGTCGCTGTGCCCAGCGTGCGCGTGCGTCAACGCTACATTGGAGTATATTGGACCCTTCCGGATGCGCTAGCGGCCGTTTTGCTAGCTCCACATATATCAAATTTGGTGTTACTTGACGTCAATGAATGGCGAAATATATGACTGGTGCAAACAGGAAAATCTTGACACGCGTGTGATGTGAGAACGTGACAACATAACACGCTCATAGCGTACTCGCGGCCGTTTCGCCAGCTCCACATATACTAAATTTGGTGCCACGTGAGGTGAATAGATGACAAAGGTAAAAGACGCATCCAAACATGATAATCGTGACTTGGAAGTCATGTAAGGCATCATTTACCTTGACCTCGTAACGTTGTGCTGTTTTAAAGTGACATATCAACATTTCTCATTTATGCTTCGCGTATCATTCATTCCCACTGTACGTGGGATCTGCCAACTTTTTTGTGTTCTTTAAACTGTTTTCTTTCATATTATTACTCTTGTGAACTAGGAATAGGTATTACAACAAATTTAATTACTGAGTATAATTATTTAATTGTTTAAAAGAATAAAAAATTTTGCTCAGTATTCTTTTATTCTGACTGAGAAATTTCTCAATGTCGTAGTAAACATAATTGTCACTGTAGCCCAGTGTATAGGCGCCATTTGATAGAACAACTGATTCGGATATTTTAAGACCCAAGGTTCGAAGAGGTGTTGCTATGAATCGTCTCCTCTATTGCGTGCACCAGGCACAGGATAGTAATGACTAATTGTTTCTCCTCCTTACACAGTAGACACAGAGAAGACCGCGCTTGATTAGCTCTAGGCTGGTAAAAGTTGAGGGTGATAACCCGGTAGCGAAGTTTGGTTATAGCCAATTAAATCATTCTCGACCGCGATAACTCACTGTTCCAGGAAAGAATATGTGCTTATATTCTGGAGAAGCTGTCAAGACAAGGTCTCAAAAGCATTTTTTTTTGATGTTAGCGTGTGGAATCGTGCAATTGTAGTGTATCCTGTCAGTGGAAAAACCGAAATTATCGGCACCAAAAGCAGCGCCTTAGCTAAAGAATTGGCGCTTTCGTTTAAAAACAAACCCATGCGTCCTGGTACCCAAACTAAGTGGAGACATTAAAGGTGTGTGAGAACCAGTATTCTGAAAAGCTTTCGAAGAGGTGGTTCACGAGAGGCTGAGAGAAAACTCACACAGGAGTCAGTGATAATTGCTACTAATCTAAATATATTTCGTAACTTTTGGAAAGCCAATCGGGTTGTAATGGGGCCAACCCATTACAACGCAGTGTTCCAAACCATTACAAACTTTTCAAGCATAATTCTTTGTCACCAAACACAGCATAAAAAGAGTTATACAGAATTTCTTACAGGTACGTAACGGGTACCACGCTTCCCGGATAAAAATGATAAGGGATAGCATAGTGAATTCACCTCATTATCTTTTTTGCATAGTAAATGGGTCCACCGAACATCACGTTATTTTCTGTATTATATACTAAGCCTTACCCAAAAAATTTTAGGCGCTGTTTTCTCCTTCCTTAGGTTAGATTTGAATGTACGAAATGTACTGTTTTTCGGGGCTTTGTCTCTGGGCTACATTGACAGGAAGTTTGCTGATGCATTGCAGAAGTTCGTCGAGGGTTCGAAAAATTTTAAGTGTTGAAATCAATCCTGGCTGTATTTCCTACGTTCCCAAATTTATCTTTCAAATCCAATTCGCCACAGTTTTGCTCGTTTTAATATTTACAATTTAATATTTCTTCAGTAAGTTCATGACTCATCTTTATTTTTTAATAGACAAGTTTTCAGCTTTCACTGAGAAAGTATACTATAACAAGAGTCCGCATATTGGCCAATCCTCCAGCTTGTGTGTGCGTCAACTCCATTCTACTACTGTACTACAGAAAAATTGGTGCTTTATGGCTTAGAGGGTAGCCGGGTAGTGTGCTTTTAGTAGTTAGCCCAATTGTGTTTTAAAAAGGCTCTAGCAAGGCCGCTGTTACAGCTTTCGCTGCGATTCTTCTTTGCGTTCCACTAAAACTTTGAAACAATTTTTCTACTGCTGATTTCGTTTATTTGCTTTGAATTTTTACTAGTACCATTAGATGGGCACGTGCGTGTATAAGAACTCGTCTCAGAATATCTTGTCACCATATTTGTGATATTTACCACGTTCCGCTAGCCAGAAGTTCTTATCGCTGCATCCATTCGTAGACATTATGATAGCGATGCTTCAGGCAACCGGTGTCTTATGTCGGTGTCTGGCTCATCATTTTACACGGCAAAAAAACGAACTTGTGTAACATCTTTCGGTGAGTTATGGCTTGCAGCATATATGCCTCTCTATGAAAAGCCCCTCTACAACACCGAGTTCAAAGGCGAGACAGGAGCTTCTTCGTCGCCTTCACTGGCCTTCCTAAAAGCTCTGTCGTCTCCTTACCACCCGTTTTTGTTCATAAAACGTGAGAAACGTCCACAATAAGCGTTGATTCAGTATTGGGCTTCTGGTCTGCATGGTTTATGGATTTGATATGTGGGGTTTAACGTCCCGAAACCACCATATGGGTAGTCTGCATGGTTCTATTCCTTCTTGCGCAGGAAGCAAAGTGTGCACTTTCTTATCTGGCGCATTGACCAATCGAGAGATTACTTAATCCAGACGTGACGCGTAGAACCTGCTTACGTCACACATTTTGCCGCGAGAATGGACAACGAGGGGAACGAATGCAACACGCGTTGAATTTAATTTTATGGGTTCTTCAGGGACCCTTCAAGAGAGACGTCAGCTTTCTTCGGCGTTTATATTTGTGGTCCCTTCTGAGAGTCTTGTGCCCAAAAGAGAGCATGCCTCTTTTAAGGCATAATATACGTGGCAAGTGAGTACTCACCAAAATAAGTCACACATACTTCATTTTATTGCGATATCAATTATATGAACACTCTCGGGTGGATTTTGCCACTGGCGTCGGCTTCGACGTCGACGTCATGCATCGTATATGTATGCGTATTTATATATATGAAAATGCAAGACAAAAAAATAAAGAGCACTCTGGCACGCGGAATCGAACAAGGGACCTCTGCTTCGCGAAAGCGAGGCGTTAACCACTGAGCCATCCTGGAGAATTTCCTTTCTTTATTAATGAGCCACCCTGGAGAACGTTCTTCACCGCTCAAACGGCAAGCTATTTATATCTGCCACTTACCGCTCCTGTGTTTTAGGCATTACCAGTAAGATGACGCCATGAGCGCACGTTGCCACATCGCGCAGCGGCGCCCGCTGTAATCTCCTACGCGTACTTTGCCCGCCTTAGAGAAGGAGAGCGACGCGCTCTCGCGCACCCTTATCTCATGGTGACAAGGAGGGGATGATTGTACGCCTTGGCTTGCCTCGTGCTTTTGTCACTGCAATCATTGCAGTCACCGTTCGCGAAAAACGCGCGCGTTTCAGACTCGGCGAAGTAACAAATGAGACGCTTAGTCGCGTGCATCTGTACTTGTGAGTGCGTTTTGAGCGTAATTTGTGCGCGAGAATCGCGGGGCATGTTTTGATCTGCTTTCTATTCTGCGCGTGACCATTCATAATGTTACGGTAACTTATTTAATAAATTAAATACGATGCACCTTGTTCGGCGAACAAGATGGCGACAGTTCATCAACAACCAGCTACTAACGTCGTCTTTCTCTTTCTTGCAGGCAGGCTGTGCCGGCTGTTGTGTATCATAACCCCCCGGCGGTAGAAGCACCGTCTCGGTGCATGAGCAACTCGGATGCCGTAGAAGGAGGGTGATCAGGTTTGAGTCGACCTATGTGCACCATGCCACTCGAAGGTGACGATGATGACGTTGAATCGGCTGGAACGATCTCTTATGTAACGTCAGTCACCTGGCGAACGACGCGACATGGTCCAGTATAGCGTGACAGCAGTTTTTCAGAAAGCCCTACACGCCGGGTGGGGGACCAGAGGAGGACAAAGGAACCCAGTGAAAAGTGCACGTTTCGATGATGGGAAACGTAGAGCTGTCTTTGTTGCTCCTGTGAGGCCTGCAGGCGGCTGCGGGCGAGTTGGCGTGCGTGGTCGGCTCGCGCGATGGCTTCGCCGGCATACTCAGTGACCGAGGGCAGCAGGGTGTCAAATGGTAGGGCGGGTTCTCGGCCGTATAGAAGATAGAATGGTGAATAGCCGGCAGTGTCGTGACGTGACGAATTATATGCGAATGTCACAAATGACAAATGAACGTCCCAGTCCTGGTGGTCGGCCGCTACGTATTTAGAAACGATGTCGGTTATGGTGCGGTTGAGGCGCTCCGTAAGACCGTTCGTTTGCTGATGGTACGAAGTGGCAAACTTGTGCTTGGCAGAGCAAGAGCGCAGGATTTCATCAACGACAGCTGATAGGAAGGTCCGGCCTCGGTCAGTGAGAAGTTGGCGTGGAGCTCCGTGTGCTAAAATAATATCATATACCAGAAAGTCCGCCACATCGGTTGCGCAACTCGTCGGAAGTGCTCGTGTGATAGCGTACCGTGTCGCATAGTCAGTGGCGACAGCGATCCATTTGTTGCCTGAGCTGGAGATATAGAATAGGCCAAGCAGGTCGAGGCCAACTCAAAAAAAAGGTTCAATGGTAATGTCGATCGGCTGAAGGAATCCAGCTGGTACGGAAGATGGCTTTTTCGGTGCAGGCAGGGCTCACAAGCGGCGACGTAGCGTCGAACAGAGCGTCGAACAAATTGTTGTTATCGCGTTCATTCCTTGACCTTTGCGGCAAAGATGTCACTTTTTATGTATATTGATTTCAAGCACTGGTTAGCTCGTCAAATATCATTTATATCATCACTGTCTAGCCTGTCTTTTAGTGTGTCTGTACGCCGGTCTGCTCGCCATCACCTACCTGGCAGGATATATTTTTTGTGTGTGAGCACACCAAGGTTCTTATGGAGACCTCTTTTGAATGCATGAGACTGATATCGCGCAGCCTTGCCTTTACTCTGAAAGAAATACTTACGTTTCTGTGATTGAAAGTGACAGGTTGCTCTGAGCTCGCAATTCCATGAAATCGCCAGCAGCACATTCATCCAAAGACGCCGCCATTCTCGGAGGGCTGGCACCGTACATCATGTCGATTACCGTGTATCCTCCTTGCCAGGCACATCCAATAGCAGCCGCTATAACGGCTGCCTGAAAAAAAAATAACCTACTTGGCTTGCATTGTGCATCACACAAGGCAGAGTACGAGTGGTTCGTATATTGCAGCCATTTGCTCCTTTACGTACTTATATTTCAGCATAAACCTGTTTAAATTTCAGCGTTGATACGCTGAGCGCCAATACGCTTGGTATACTTTACTTTTGTAACAATCTCAGAAAATCGAACTGTTGAGCGATATTAAAAGAAACGTTCACTTTTTTGCTCCTGCTCAACTTCTTGCCAAAAGCGGTTGCTTTAGATCTGAATTGACATTCTCTAGAAAAAAACTTGCCGATCACAAATGCTCATTGACAAGAAGTTATCTGCTAAAGAAAAGAAGACGTTTACGGACATGCTTAGAAATGCACAGTTTCTCTTACAGGGGGAAGATAATAATGTGATATTCATTGTATAAGTTGTAGGTCTAAATTAGCCACCTCCTTGAGGGCTGGTTTTGACGTTATGCTACAAAAGAATTGCGTAAGGCAAAACGGATGCTGGGGCGAGCGAAACATGACGTGATGAGTGAACTCAATTGAACTTTCAGTTCTTATTTCAAAATGATGGTCTGGTTTGTTCAGCCTCATGCAGAATAGCTTGTAAAAGGTGCCATGTCATGGTTGAAATACGTTAATGGGTGTGGCAGTGGCTCTTAGGTGTGCGCTTATATGAACCTTCTCTTATGTATTATGGGCAAATATTTGTACATGCTCCAGCGTGATTACTATCACAAAAGTTTGTGGCTTACCTTGGTGTCCACCCAGGGAAAAGCTAGACCTAATATCGAAAGGCTTACGAAAGGAGCGGTAATGCAACTCTGCAGCACCATCAAAACCTGCAAAATGGTAGAGCGAATAAATTGCACATTTCTAATGCTGTACAGACACTGCCATATACCATACGGCACATTGTGTTTCCTAGTTTTTGTGAAAACATAAAACGAATGCGCCTCGCAATAGAAGATACAGTGCACATAAGAACTATGAATATAAAGCAAAGAACTAGGAGCGTCAAGGAAAGCAAGTTGGGAATGATATGAGCGTATTATTATTATTATTGTAGGGAACTATGCGAACGACGACGAAGCAGCAAGAAACGGCAAGCCACAGCGTTGGTGCACAAGCACGACCCGAGCTTGCGCTTGTTTGTATTTTCGGCCTGTTGACGCTTCTCGCTCTTCTGACGTTCCTCAGTCTTCTAGTAGGTCTGTACATAAATAAACTACGTTACATCTGGTGGAGGTGTGTGGACTCCTGTACAAACCTGGAACTTCGCTCCCGTAAGCTTCCCCCTCTACGTGACACGAGCATGGCCACCGAGACGCCTCCCCAGGTTGGACCTTCGACCGTACATGTCACTTGCGAGGCCGTGTATCCTCAACGAGATCCTCCTAGCTTCATTGGCTCCACTGAGTCGGACGTCGAAGATTGGTTGGCGAGGAACGACAAAGTCGCTGCAAGTACCCAATGGGACAACCCAAGTGAGCTGGGCTACGTCACGTTCTACCTTGTGGACACCGTGCAACTCTGGTTTAATAACCACGCAGCTGACATTCCTACGTGGTCTGCATTCGAGACTGCTACTGCGGACGTCTTTGGACGACCTGCGGCACGCAAGCTTCAAGCCGAGCAGCGTTTACATCTTCCTGCGCAGCAACCAGGCGAGACCTACACGGGGTACACTGAAGATGTGTTGCATCTATGCAACCGCGTCAACTCTTTCATGCCTAAGTAAAAAAAATAAGGCACATTTTGAAAGGCATTGACGACGGCGTCTTTCAGATGTTGCTCGCGAGAAATCCCCTCACAATTGCTGTGCTCGTTTCCCTCTGCCAGTGCTTCGATGAGTTGCGTAGAGAGCACGCAATTGCGCGTGAAGCCCTCACTACGCCAGACACGCTCTCAAGCTTGCACCTAGCAGCCCAACCTACCGATCAGCAGCCGCTGCTTTCGACAATCGAGGACTTCGTCCACGAAGAGGTAGCGTGCCAGCTGTCACTGCTGCCACTGACACATGAGCCCGCGCAAACTTTGGCACCGGACCTCCAACACGCCATTCGCACCTAAGTCGCTGAGACCCTTCCACCGATGCATCAGCAACCACCTGTTACTATGCGTTTCACGTACGCTGCCGTCGCTGCTCGGCCTACGCAACAGCATATGCCGTATGCTCAACCTGCCGTGCCGCCCTACGTCGTGCCTACAACCCCATTGCTGTGCCGTATCCAGTCGTGAGATCTTCAGCTCCATTTTCCCGTCGCTCTGACGCTTGGTGGACGCCGGATAATAGGCCCATCTGTTTCGCCTGTGGTATCGCTGGACACGTCGCCCGCCACTGTCACCGATATCCTCCTCCAGTTGGCACCATGGGCAGGGCAATTGTGTCTTCATCTAGGACGCCGTCAAGGTACACCACTGACGGTCAACGACCCTACGCAAACCATCGGTCACCATCGCCCCGACTACGCTCCCTGTCACCCATGCGTCGCCGACCTGCTACGGAAGAGGAAAACCGATGGCTGCAGCTGCGGAGGCAACAGCTGCATACAATTCGAACTGCTTATGGCCTCCATCTTTTTCGCCGCAAAACGTTATCGCCGTCAATGTTGAGGGAACCGCCGCACAAGCGCTTATCGACGCAGGGGCCGCCGTTTCCGTAATCAGTCAGACCTTTTGTTGCAAGTTGAAAAAGGTGACGACGCCTCTCTCGGGCCTGATGCGCCGCACGGCCAACTCGCAGTGCATAGAACCTACAGCTGTGTGCCCTGCACGTGTCTTCATTCAAGGTGAACTTTATGCCATTGAATTTTTTGTGCTGGCATCATGCTCCCACGAAGTCATTTTTGGATAGAACTTTCTTTCACGTCATCGGGCCATCATAGATTGCTCACGTGCATTAGTTGCCGTTACACCGCTGCCAACGTCTTGTTTGGTAGATTCTCTTTCTGAAGCTTACAAACTTGTCGTTGTTGCAGACACGGAAATATGACCGAGAACATGCACCCTTGTAGCCCTGACCTGTACGGCCGCTCCTGCCGGAACTGTTTTGTTCACTCCGTCTGAGGTATTTACCCGCCGCTGTAGCCTACAACTGCCCTTTGCCATACTCACTGTGGAATCCGGAGCTACCGCCATGCTCGTTGCGAACTATCGCCAGTTACCTTACTATCGCTATCGTCGCCGGTTACCTTACTTCGCGGATAATGTTTGGGTAACATACAAGACGTAGACCTCTTGCGCCCTCTGAAGTTTGCCGAACACCCACCTCACCTCCAGCTCAATGCTATGACGCCACCTGTAGCCACACTGCCCGCGCCAGACTCATTCCAGCCCTCTGTTGCCGCTGAGCTATCGCACACAAAGACGCAAACTAGTGTCCCTTCTTCGAGAGTTCCGTTCTGCCTTCGATTGCGCTCAACCATCTTTGGGTCGCACAGCGAACATCACGCACCACATTGACACCGGTACTCATGCTTCATTACGCCAACGAACATATCGAGTTTCAGCGGAAGAGCGCCGTATTATCAACGAACAAGTCGACGATATGCTCAAGCGTGGTGTCATCCAGCCATCGCAGAGCCCTTGTTCGTCCCCTGTTGTACTTGTGCGCAAAAAGGATGAGTATATCCGATTCTGTATCGACTACCGCCGGCTCAATAAGATAAATCGAAAGAATGTGTACCCGTTGCCACGCAGCGACGATGCTCTCTATTGCTTGCAAGGAACAGAATATTTCTCCCCTTTAGATTTACGCTCATGATATTGGCAAGTTACAATGGCTGATTCTGACTCATCGAAGACTGCATTTGTAACACTTGATGGGCTGTATGAGTTTAACGCTATGTCCTTTGGACACTGCAACACCCCAGCTACCTTCGAACGAACACGTGCCTCTGCTACCTAGACGACATTGTCGTTTTTTCTCGCGACTTTCCACTCACCTTGTTCGTCTTCGTGCTATTTTCACGTGTCTCACCTCTGCTGGCCTTCAACTTAACATCAAGAAGTGCCATTTTGCCGAACGTCAGCTCACTATACTGGGTCACGTCGTCTGCAAAGAGGCTGTTCTCCCGGATCCGGTGAAACTCCGCGCCGTGGCCGACTATCCAAAGCCCAATTCCATCAAGACGTTTCGAAGTTTTATCGGCCTGTGCTCATACATTCCTCGATTTGTGCACAACTTCTCTTCCATCATCGCACTTCTTACCAGCCTGTTGACAACTTCCAGAGGCATTTCTGCTTGGTCAAAAGAGTGCGACGAATGCTTCACCGTGCTTCGGCGGTTATTATTATCACCTCCAAAACTACGCAATTTTGACCCCGATGCGCCTACGGAGGTCCACACCGACACCAGTGGTGTCGGTCTTGGTGCTGTATTGGCTCAAAAAAAAAACTAGGATACCAAGAATACGAGGTCGCTTAGGCGAGTCGAATCCTCAACAAAGCCGAGTGTAATTATTCCGTCACTGAGAAAGAGTGCCTCGCAATTTCTGGGCTTTGACGAAGTTCCGCCCATACCTTTATGGCCACCCTTTCGAAGTCGTTCCAGACCACCATGCTCTATGGTGGCTATCATCATTCAAAGACCCGCTGGGGCGCCTTGGTCGTTGGGCGCTTTGCCTACAGGAATACGACATTCGTGTTGTATACCGATCCGGCCGCAATCGCTACGACGCTGATGCGCTATCCCGCTCGCCGCTACCGGCTGACCCAACCTCCTCGTCACCTTCTTCAGCTGTAATAACATCAATCGACTTCACATAAATGGCAAAGATGCAAGCAAAGATGTGTGGATTTCCCAACTTTTCGCCTTTCTGACTGATCCGTAAGCTAATTCGGTCTCAAGAACTATCCGCCGTCTAGCCACACCTTACGCTTTTCGAGACGACCTCCTCTATCGGCGCTGTTACACGTCTGAAGGTCAGAGGTGGCTGTTAGTGGTTACATGCGCTCGGAAATCTGTACTGCTTACCACAACGACCCACAAAGCGCTCACGCCGGCGCTCTCAAAACGTACAATCGTCTACGTCAGCTGTACTACTGGCGCGGCATGTACACATTGGTTCGCAAGTACGTACGTGCTTGTACTGCATGCCAGCGACGTAAAGCCCCACCTCAACACCCTGCCAGTACACTTCAGCCTCTGCCTTGTAGAGTGCGTCCATTTGACCGCGTCGGTATCGACTTATACGGACCACTTCCTACGTCGTCTTCTGGAAATAGTTAGATAATTGTTGGCGTGGACCAGCTCACGCGTTACGTGGAGACGGCAGCACTACCCGCAGCAACCAAGAGGGAAGCTGCGTTTTTCATCTTGCGCAACTTTGTTTTCGCCATGGTGCTCCCCGCGAACTCTTGAGCGACCGGGGGCGTGTTTTCTTGGCTGACGCCATTCAAGCCTTTCTCGCTCAGTGCAACATGGTTCATCGCATGACGACAGCATATCACCCGCAGACGAATGGCCTCACAGAACGATTATATTGCACTCTCGGTGATATGTTGACGATGTACACAGCTTCAGACCAGACCAATTGGGACACTGTCCTTCCATTCGTCACGTATGCGTATAACACCGCTACCCACGCGACAACAGGGTTTTCCCCTTTCTTTCTGTTGTACGGCCGGGAACCATCGTGCACGCTGGACACTATCTTCCCATACACGCCCGACTCCTAAGAGTACACTGCGATTTCTGATGTTGCCAGGTACGCAGAAGATTGCAGACGATTGGCCCGTTCATTGACAACCGAGGACCAAGGCCACCAGGTGGTGGGTGGTGAAAACATTTAATAACCATTAAATGGTTACAGAGAGGTGATTGGGTTGGGGCCTTATT